AAAAAAAAAAAGTCATTTGGTTGCATCATGTAAGTATGACCATCTAAAAGTATCAATTTTCATCTATAACCATGACATCTTATGAAAATTTTCTCAGCCCCATTTTTTAGCATGTTTGTGAAATTAAAATTTCTCTGTGGTTTTTCTTGTTGCTTGATATCCTTTTTCTAACCTTGCAATGGTTAGAATAGGCAAGTCTAGATTAACCTTCTTCCTATGGGTTGTAGTAAATTTTATATTGTGTAGACGTAAGCAGGGCCGGCCCTGGGATAAGCCCACCAAGCCACAGGGCTGGGGCAACCCAGGGCCGGGGGGCAACCCATCCCTCCCGCTTCTTCACTCTTCAAACTGTAATTATCTTTGATTTTTGAAATGAACTTTGTAAACGGACCTTTATGCAAAAATTGTTAGGGGTTCTATTTGTAAAAGAACTCTAATGAATACCCAAAATCCTACCCAACTCCTTTATTTTCGTCAGCATTTCCTCTCCTCCTTCTCGTCTCTGTTCCGCTCACAAAAAAAGAAAAAAAAGAGAGAAAACCGCTCCTCTCCTCCTTCCCGAGCCTCTGACGGTCCGACCTTACTCTGCTCCCATCGGATCCGTCATTCAGGCTTCACCCAGCTAGCTCCTCCAACCCAATCAGATAAATTTTTTAACTAAATAATTTTAGGATTTTTTTGGACAGAAATTTGGGGTTTTGATGTTTTTCAATGAAATTAATATTTCTGATTTTGAATCTTAGCTAAATCTTAGTTGTTGAATAATTGAATTAGGGGTTATGATGTTTTGGAATGGGTTGCTTATCGAATTTTGTTTATTATCCTAGTTACGGTTGCCTCGGTGGAGAGAAATTTTTCCAAGTTAAAATTGATAAAAAGTTATCTTCGCACTACCTTATCATAGGAATGATTGAATGGATTGTCAATGATATCAATTGAAAATGAATACTTGGAGAAACCTGAGTATGATGACTTAATTGAAGAATTCGCTTCAAAAAATTAAATGAGAAGTATTTCTTTTGAATTAAATTGTAGCACAAATATAATCTCTTCTTATATGAATATTGATTTTGCATGAGAATATTATCAGTTTGAGCCCAATATAGAATGCTAAATTGTATTATACGTATTCATTTTTATCGTTATTATTCTTACCAAATTTTTAATATAAGGGGCAACCAAAATGGGATTGGGCTAGGGCAACCCAAAGCTCGGGGGCCGGCCCTGGACGTATGGAGATTAATCAAGTTTGCTCTAGTCTATGATCCATTATTACAAAAGAAATTTTTTTATGTAAATATTTATTGTGAATATTTCACCAAGAGAGCAAGAAACTAATTGAGAAAATTACCTCTCAAGAGAGCAATAGAACTTAACAAAGGAGGATGATTGATAGTTTCCCCCTTTTTAATAAGCATCTAGTAATTACTAAAAAAATAATTTGGCTTAAAGGATTAGGAGTCCATATTAGCCCCCCCCCCCCAACCCCCCAACAAAAAAAAGAAAGAAGAAAAAAGAAAGACAAAAAAGAAAAAACAAAACAAAAAAAAAAAACAAAAAAAAAAAAATGTTGCACCAAGTACATATAAATATTTTCATGAATTGTGTTGATGTATGGAATCACACAATAAAATAAAAGGGGTTAATTGTGTTAACGGAGGTCCTCTAACTCTTCAAATGTCTAGTATTTGGGTAAGATATACTTCCTTGCACAAGTAGCAAATCATAAGAGGGCGGGGTGTGATTCCCCGGTTATTTTTCCGACAATCAAGTCAGTCGGTGGTTTGTGTGGAGAAGTAAAATGAACTGTAGTAGTTATTTAGTTCAGAGAATGGTGGAAAAAGCTTATCCTGTAATGAAAAATAATATATCCTTTATAGTAGTAGAAGGAGGGCAGTATGGTAACTTTGGCCGGGCATGGGCCGGCGGCCAAGTCAGCTTTAACTTTACAGGTGTCGGCCTAGGAGTGGAGGAGAGGTCACTTCAGTTTAATGTGAAGTGCTGTGAGGTGTGCGGTGCTGACGTGGTCCGATGTGTCATAAGTACTATTGGAGGCAGAGGAATGATGGCGCATATAATGCATTTAATGACATTTTATGGCGAGGTGATTGGTCATCAGTGCACAGGAGGGGCTCGAGGCTCGAGGCGTTTTGTCACCTTTCTATTCGTCTGGTGGTCGAGAAGTACCGCCTTTCGAGTCGCCCTCGAAATGTATCAACCGATGAGTTGGACGAGTGGAGTGTTTAAGTAGTCGATTCAGCCCGGGGACGACACGTAACGCCTTTCGGGTCATCGACATGTGACGCCTTTCGAGTCATCCTCCCATGATGTCAACGTGTCGAATCAACGGAGCTGAGCTTCTGATTATCTTGAGATGTTGACATGATTATGTATAATTTATAACACTTGTCTGTCATCGATTGGTGATTATTTTTCATCACTAAAATGGCTATATCAAATTGTTCAATTTTTTCAATGAGAATAAATAATGGTCGACCATGACGGATGCAACATTTACAAAAACGGCTAAAATTTATCTTAAAATGTACCAATTTAGGGGTAAGAATATGCTCCAAATCATTCAATTTGAGGCAGATTATCAATAGAAATGATATCTAAAAGCTCAATTAGATGATGAACTTTCCCTAAATAGAAATAAGTTTCTAGAAAGCCGACCATCATGAGTCTCTAAACAACAATAATTGACCACACAAATCCACCAACCCCTTTCTTGTCCAAAAACACGTTTAAATTTCAAAAAGGAAAAGGTGGTATCTGCAAAAGCACACTCCTTTTGGCGCACACGGAATTGAGTGCCATCATGCTTCCGACCGGAAATCCTTTGCTTTAAGGTTATTTTTCATATTAACCCCTTAAACGTTTAATATTTCGAAATAAGTCTCTCAATCAAGTCGATATTAGGTCCACAATCCTCAGAGATGTTCAAAACTGGTCATTCAAATTTGTGGTCAAATTAGCATTTAATTAAATAACCGATCATTCAAGTAATTAAGATATATGTATAAACAGCCAATGAATAAATCAATGACCAATGATCTAATTAACTCCAAATTGTGATATAATAGGAATTTTCGCGATTAGTTGGACTGTCTACAAACTTTAAAACAACTAAGGGACTGATACCGAAAAAACCTTATGTTTAACGCCGTAAGCTCCCAGAATCCCCAAATTTCGACGAAGTGATCAATAAATCCTTTCCCCCCCCTCAAATTACAGAAGAGTACCAAAAAAAGAAACATTTTTATCTGAAATTGCGTTGTCCAAAAGCTACGCTCTTGACTCTCCCTCAAATTCTCCCCGAAAAAACCCTAGATCCGCCCCTTCTCCCCCAAACTCCGATGAACTTCTAGGGTTTAGGGTTTTTGATCGACGATGGTGTCCCGCGCCCTCTTCGGGTGGTCCCCACCCCACATGCAACCCCTAACCCCAGTCTCCGAGGTCTCAGAACCTCCGGAGTCGCCGTCTCCGTACATGGACTCCGGCGTCGAGGCGGTGGGGGTGGAGGACGAGGAGACCGTCGACGAGG